ATTCACTTAATTGAAGAATAAAAAACAAGAGGCAAAATTAATTAGAAGAATTGATTCTTATTCATTAAAATAGATTCAAAATTCTCTTAATTTTGATGAAATTTCAACCGGACACAGAACCCCTACTCTGTAATGAACGCGACTTGGTGGTGATGGAGGAAGGTGAGATCTACACAGATAGAATTAACTTGTTGATACCATATTAAATTAGATAATAATATAGAGATTTTAATTTACAATTTTGATAAACTGTTTTTCATTCTTTTAAAATTGTTACACTGATCCCCTTATAGTAGTATTTGATAAATAAAAACATGTTATATGTTGTAACTACCTGTTACTGACGTGTGTCAGTTACTAAATAACTCACTCTGAGTTAATTATTATTTAACACATTCTTATTAGTATTAGTAATAATTAGGGCTGGAAATGAGTCGAGTCGAGTCGAACTCACCTCAGCTCGGCTCGACTCGTTAAGAATTGTTCGAATTCGAGTTCGAGTTCGAGTTCGACACGAACTTTTTTTTAAGCTCAAACTCGACTCGTTATAAGTTCACGAACAGTTCGGTTCGACTCGTTAGGTTCATCTCATTAGGTTCAGCTCACATGGTTCACGAACTTAAAAACTATTTTTTTAAATATATATATTTTTTAGTATATTTGACATTTTAAATAAATATATATATATTTTTAAATAAAATATTAAAATAAAATAAAAGTTATCATATTGAAATTTAACTTTATCTTCGAAATCTACTAATTCAAAACCTACACAACTTTCAAGAGATACATTTGAGAGTCTAATTCAAAAACTAATAAATTGAAGATTAAATTTGTCTAAGATTTGAAGTAAATATTTAAACCTAATCTTAAGGATAGTATAATTCTTTTCATATGTAATCGAGTTGACTCATGAACCTAACGAGTCGAACTATGTATAGTTCAAGTTCAGCTCATTTAGTTAACGAACTTAATTTTTCGCTCATACTCAACTCATTTGGTTCATGAACCTAGTTCAACGATTTAATTGTCGAGTCGAATTCCGAACTATCTTCGAGTTGGTTTGGTTCATTGCCAGCCCTAGTAATAATGTATAGTATATCCCTTATAACTATGGTATCAATTGATATTTTGTGAGTTACTGTAGTATGGTATAGATCGATAAGAATATTATTATTATTATTATTATTATTTACTATTATTATTATTATTATTTCTCGCTTTATATATCCCATTTGTATGGATGATGCAATATTCCTTTTACCCAAATGACATACATTGTAGTCAACTTGACCACAACTTGTTCATCAAAAGTATATATATATATATGCTTCCAAACACATCATTTGTTTTAACCATTATAGACTAAGAATAGTTTGTAAACCTCATCTGACTAAAGATCGACCGACCCAACACAGAACTTGTTAGCATCGATAGGATTCGAACCTGAGAGACTTCGAGAAAAGTACACTCTTATAAGTACCGCACGAGCGGAATAAAAATTGTTTTTATTATATTACATCATATTATTACAGTTAATCCTTAAGCAGATCTATCTATATATGTACCCTACACTATATAATAAATCCAAACCATATAATAAATCCAAACCATATCAGTGTCTTTGTTGAAAGAAAGCATCTCCATGTTTTCGTTGCTTCATCATCAACAAAACAACTAGAAGAGAAAGAACAAATAAACTAAGGTGAGTTGCTACTTGCTATAATATAGTATACAATATATGTATAAATCAATAATTGTTTTTTTAATCTATCTTTGTTTGATACATGAACTGTGTATTATTAAGGTGATAGGTGCTTATATAGAGATGATTTCTCCATCAAGTCCACTGAACATCAACACTGAATTTCAAGATAAAAAAATGGAAATTGAAAGAGAAGTGAATCAGAACTTGGAAGATAAGTTACCTGTGATAGGCTCTGAAGCAATCCAATCGGACGAAGCGTGGACAGAACATATAACAGTGAGAGGATTGTTTGTGAGTATGATGATTGGAATAATCTATAGTATAATTGCAATGAAGCTTAATCTTACCACCGGAATGGTTCCGAATTTGAACGTCTCCGCTGCTCTACTTGCTTTTGTGTTCATAAGAAGTTGGACTAAAGTGCTTGAAAAAGCTGGTTTTGTTTCTAAGCCGTTTACTCGTCAAGAGAATACTATTATTCAGACTTGCGCTGTTGCTTGCTATAGCATTGCTGTTAGTGGTGAGATTCATCTCTTACTGATACAATCATTGATCAGACTTTCTTATCTCGTGACTGAACTCTAGATTAATTTGTGTGTATTGCAGGAGGATTCGCTTCATATCTGTTGGGATTAAACAGGAAGACATATGAGTTGTCTGGAGTAGGCATTGAAGGTAACAACCCAAACGCAGTTAAGGATCCGGCGTTTGGTTGGATGTCTGGTTTTCTTTTTGTGGTTTGCTTTGTTGGACTCTTTGTCTTAATTCCACTCAGAAAGGTATGTAGTATTTAATTAACTAATTAATTAATGATGATAATAATAATTAGAATACATACTTTAGATTTGGACTCTTTTTTATACAATATTTGTGTCTTTTCATCTTCTGATACAGGTTATGATAGTTGATCTCCAATTACCTTATCCAAGTGGTTTGGCAACAGCAGTTCTCATCAATGGTTTCCATACACAGAATGACAAAATGGCTAAGTACTATAAACATGTCTTCTTATTCATTCATTCATTAACTTTTGTTTGTTTTTTAGTTTGGAAAATAATGGTGTTAAATTATAGTAATCATCTTATTGTAATATTGCAGGAAGCAAGTGCATGGATTCATGAAGTATTTTTCTATCAGTTTCTTGTGGGGTTTTTTCAAGTGGTTTTTCTCGGGCGTAGAGGGTTGTGGATTCGAACAATTCCCGACCTTTGGATTGCAAGCTTGGAAGCAAACGTACGATGATTTAGGCTTTTTTTTTTTAGTTTGAAACGTGTTATAATTGGTTTGGAATGAAAGTTTCGATTCTAGTTGGTTGGTACTGATCTGTTGATTGAATTTTTTGTTATGCAGATTCTATTTTGACTTTAGTACAACTTTTGTGGGAGCGGGGATGATTTGTTCTCACCTTGTGAACTTGTCTCTGCTTCTTGGAGCTGTGCTGTCTTTTGGAGTCATGTATCCGCTCGTTGATCGGCTTAAAGGAGATTGGTTTCCTGATAACTTGGAAGAAACTAATATGAAGGGTTTATATGGTTATAAGGTTTTTCTATCAATAGCTCTAATCCTTGGTGATGGAGTATATACTTTCACCAAGATTCTAGTTTCAACTGTCATTGGCGTAAATGAAAGAATGAAGAACAAGAAACTTAAAAATGGTAAGAACAGTCATAGACGTGTTGTGCTCTTCTTTTCAAGTTTTCAAGAGTACTAATATGAATATATGATATATCTATCATTTTCTTGTTGCAGAATCAGCTTCTGATCAGCAAGAGAGTCCTACTGGGGACATTAAACAAGGTCAAACATTCTTGAAGGAGGTCATTCCAATGTGGATCGGAGTCGTTGGATATGGCGTTTTCACGACCATTTCGATAATTATAATCCCACACATGTTTCCTCAGCTGAAATGGTACTACATCATTGTTGCTTACATTTTTGCTCCATCTCTTGCATTCTGCAATGCTTTTGGAGCAGGTCTTACTGATATAAACATGGCATATAACTATGGGAAAGTTGCACTATTTTTGCTGGCAACTGTGACAGGAAAAGAGAACGGTGTAGTGGCCGGACTTGTGGGGTGTGGTCTCATTAAATCCGTGATCTCAGTGTCTTGCAATCTGATGCAAGATTTCAAAACTGCTCATTGCACGCGTACCTCTCCCAGGGCAATGTTTGCATGCCAAGTAGTTGGCACAGCAATGGGGTGTATATGCTGTCCTCTGAGCTTCTTCCTGTTTTACAAGGCGTTCGACGTGGGAAACCCACATGGAGAATTCAAAGCCCCTTATGCACTAATTTATAGAAACATGGCAGTTATAGGTGTTCAAGGTTTCTCGGCACTGCCAAGACATTGCTTGCAACTTTGTTTTGGGTTCTTTGGTTTTGCTATAGGAACAAACATGTTAAGAGATTTTTCACCCAAAAAGATAGGGAAATGGATGCCTTTACCGATGGTCATGGCTGTACCGTTTCTGGTTGGGGCGTACTTTGCAATTGATATGTGCATGGGTAGTTTGGTTGTGTTCGCGTTGCACAAGCTTAACACCAAGAAAGCAGAGTTGATGGTTCCTGCAATTGCCTCTGGACTAATTTGCGGAGAAGGACTATGGACTCTTCCGGCTGCTATTCTTGCTCTAGCGAAAATTAATCCGCCTATCTGCATGAAATTTGTTTCTTCGTAAAACTTGACCCAACATATAAAGCAATGAAGAGCATTAGCTAGTTTACCTTTTTTTATCTTCTTTTTGTCACGAGTTGTGTACTCTGAAGCACACATCAAACAAATATAAAATGATGTTCAATACAGAACATTACCCCCATACTGTTGGCATTAGAATACAGTTTGTAACATGACAAAATTCTGTTTCATGAATACATGCAGCAGGTGCATTCCCAACCGCAACAAAACAAAAAGAAAACACCTTTCTTGTAGAACAATGGATGAGTTTTCAGCCTTACTAATGTATTAAATCAGAGAATCAAAAAGGCTTGAAAAAGCAAAGACAAAAAAACACACATGCAGGTTTGGACAGGCACCAATTATATAAACAGTTGTAAAAGGTCCAAACCACAAATTCTACAATTCTTGTAAAATATGAATTATTGGTAAGACCCACAATATTTGGCGGGATGGTAAATGAGTAAACTCAGATTTTTCTATTGCATTAACATTATTTCATACATTACTCAACATTATACACAAGTTCGCATAGAAGTGCAGTGCAAAAAGCTGATGATGAATTCTTACTCCATTTGACAGACCAAATTGGCAATACATTTAACGAAATTACAATCATCCAGTGATAATACCCGCCAATACATCACTTTTGCCTCGCACATAAATAGTGTAAACTAAACGAATTGCATCCAGCCATCCATCCAATGATTCCCAAGAGTCAGCAACCTTGATAAAGCAATGTACAAAAATGAAAATTAGTGCTGCAGCTTCAAAAGCTAAAGAGATTCTCATGCTTTCGGCTTGAGATGAAGCACACTATTCAAAGACTTCATCAAACCTTTAGAATCTTACTAAAATTTGAATTTGGCAGAACAATTTTTAATTACATTGGTGTTAGAGAGGGCCGGTCACTCAGTAAATACATGTATGAATTCAGCTTTTTATATCAAACAAGTGTACAGTATCCACACTTTCAAGAGTGCAGGTTTCACACGATTGCATTACCAATTAAAGATGTTAATCTCATGATATAATCAAATAAACTATCAACAAAGAATAAGGCATAACAAAAATCTCAAACTCAAACTAATATACAAGAAGTTGTTGGGACAATCAAGAGGGCAGAAGTGGTCATTTCATTACGAAATGTGGACTTGATTATTTTATAATGAAAAAGTTGATGGCTTAATCAGTCCAAATGTTGACTTCAGCTAAAATTTATTGTGCCTCTGGATTAAACAACCTACAACAAGTGTAGATGAAGGATGCGGAAGATCTATAGAATACAATTACACTAAGGTCGATTAAAGTGCTGCTTACCAAGTAAACTGATCCATGAACTGTATCAATGCAGAGGCCAGCACCAGGTGGCAAAGTCAGATCAGCACATGCTGATACAGAAACAATATCCGCTATTTCTACTTTGATAGTCTTCTTATCCCCATTCACGGTATCTGATCTGGTTGAAAGATTTTGAGATGATTGCCTCTGTTCACCTCTGGGTACCTGAAGCATGTCCAATTTTGAATTTAAAATTTTGAATTTAAAATTTAGATTTCTCACACCAGAGCCAAGAGGTTATCGAGTGATTACAAAATTTAATTTGAGCAGCCTCTTATAAAATTTCAATTTATCAGCCAGATACTTTACCTGCTGAAGCTTTTCGTGATCCAAAAAGAATTCTGATCGTTTCCAATCATTATGAGGTGCAACTAATGCCCCCGAAGGAGGTGCAATTAAATATCCAACTTTAAGGTGAGGTAGTGGTAGCTGTGAAAATTGAGTTCTGTCAAAGTTGGTATATAAACGAATAAATGAATGATTACATAACTAGCACTCACATTTGTTTACAATGAAATGAAATGAAACAACTACCATATAGCGCATATCAATTCATGTTGAAGATAACTTAACTTCCAACAGGAAGAAAGGAATTGGGATGAAACCAATAAAACAGTATGGTTACTTTTAAAAACAATTAGATCATTTAAGTGATAAGTTCACATTGCAAATGTTGTCCCAGATTGAAAGCTACTACATTTAACATAATTTAGGATAGCATGTTCTCACCATAGAGCGTACCAACCGCAAAGCACTGCTATATACCTGTCAATACAAAAAAAAATATGGGCTGATTTCATGATAAAAGTAGCCAAAAAAAAAACAGGAAACAAGGAAATAAATAGAAGGATAAGTTTAAGAGAAAAGCACATGTTAACTAGACTAACAAACCTTTCTAATCCAAAAAATGCATATAGCCAGTAATTATGTACAAAGGAATGAATAGACAGTGGGTTCTTACAGAATAATTTGGTTTCAATGCATGTGCAGAAGCAATATATATTGCAGATTGGCTGTACAATTCATTTGGTGAAACTTCTTGAGCATTCACTGATCCCCCTGTTCTTAAAGTGTCCTCTGCTAATCCGTACTGCAAAGTCATTTAACAAGTCAATTATACATTCTTAATACTGTTTCTTTGTTATATGTCAATCCAAAACAACAAAGCAAAATGTGTTATTAAATATGTGAAAAATTGAAGGAGAAATATGACCAGAACAGTTCCAAGATTGTAAATTGCCCGGTGGAAATCAAATTGCAACTGTATGGCTGCACGAAACTGCAATGAAGAGTAGGGTAAAGTCAAGAGAGGAAGAGAATAAATTATATTTAAAGGATGGAGCTGATGTAAATGTTTTTCACTTCCATGTGATTCCCTGCTAAAAAATGTGTACCTTGCTGATAGCAGTTCTTACAATTTTTTGCTTTTCTCGAGCTGGAACAATGGCACTGAGTTCCTGTACAATATTTGAAGGGGAGAATTGGAAGCAGTTAAAAATTGTGGTCATGTGACTAGAAGGTGACATATTCGAGTTATGGACTCAGCCTCTTGCAAATGCAAATCAGGATACCAACAATAAGCCCGCAATAGGTTTGATCCTTCCCTATAGTTTACCATAGCAAATGTTTTATAGGACCAAGTTTCCCTTTTTTCAACAAGTACGATATTTTGCCAATGAATTCTTATGATATAGAGAAAACTATTCTGAACAAGAGAAGAGAGTTGGATATGATTAGTAAAATAAGAACAGCAGGCAATTTCAATGATATAGAGAAAACTATTTTGGAAACAAGATGAAATGCATGGCAACTCCAATGGTATTTAAGGGTTTAGAAAAGTATGATTTTCGCCTAAGCAGAAGTAGGACGGAGTATAAAAAGCAAGTTCAACAAAAGAAAAAGCGTTTATAACCTAGAGGTGAAAGTTGGAGACCATGTTATCCCTCAAGTCACACGGTTTAAATATCTAGGATCCGTGATACAAAATGATGGAGAAATAGAAGGGGACGTAAACCAGCGATTCAAGCTGGGTGGTTGAAATGGAGAAAGGCATCGGGTGTTTCATATGATGCAAAGGTACCGCCCAAGCTGAAGGAAAAGTTTTATCAGACTGCGGTAAGACCTGCAATTTTGTACGGGACAAAATGTTGGGCGGTTAAGAATCAACATGAGAATAAAGTAAGTGTAGCAGATATGAGGATGTTGCGGTGGATGTGTGGTAAGACTCGACAGGATAAAATTAGAAATGAAAATATTAGTGTTGGAGTAGCGTCTATAGTAGAGAAGATGGTGGAAAATAGACTTAGGTGGTTTAGACATGTAGAGAGAAGACATGTAGATTCTGCAGTAAGGAGAGTATACCAAATGGAGAGAAGGCAAACAATTCGGAGAAGAGAAAGACCGAGAAAGACTATAAGAGAAGTTATTAAGAAAGATTGAGATAAATGATTTGGATAGAAGCGTGGTCCTTGATAGAACATTATGGCAAAAGTTGATCCATGTAGTCGACCCCACCTAGTGGGATAAGGCTTTGTTGTTGTATATTGCTTTTATTCTACAAAAATTTCAAGATAAACTTGACAAAGTCCTACTTTTTGCAAAATTTTACATGCCTGGCCCAAAGAAAAATATAAGAGGTTATTTATATTAGACAATTCACAGACAAAATAAAACGACATTGGATATATTCAAACATTGATCGAGGACTCAACTGTGCTAAATTGTTAATTGCTATGCTAGGCCGCTACCCAAGTAGTGTTCTACAAGGATGTTTGAATATAAAAATGAATGAGCTAGAAGTGCTACATCAACCCCAAATGTAAAGCAAAATAGGCAAGAGATCACATTTCCTATAGGATTTTTTATGGCACCCAAGTCTTGAAACACTAACAGGTAAATCTATGGAAGTAGTTGACAATTTGATGATAAGCAATACCAACTATTATGATACTTTAAGAAAGTGAAAAAATCAAGTGAGTTGGATGAAAGGCAATAGAAGTGGACATTTCAAGATTTAAAAAATTGAAAGAAGTCTATGACTGATGATAGATCGAGGGGATAGGATAGGAGCATGTTCTTAAATCTGTCATTAACAGAAAACATACAACTCAATGACAAGGTACTGAGTAAATTTGGAAGGGTCAACAAATCTCAAGGAAGAAAATAATTTTCTGCCAGGGAAACAAAATATGTTGGAGGAACCATAAAGGGGCTTACATTAGGTTTAAGGAAAAAGACCAATAAAATCTCCAATGAGAAAAGTAGATCAAATTGAAGATAGTTCAATTAAAACTGGAACATTCGGTAGACCAACGAAAGCTAATGGAGTAACCATTAAAAACAGGTCTAAATCAAGATTATTCTATTGAAGATTATGTTTTTTATGAAACCCAATGGCATTGACATTGACTGATTCGTATACCCCGGTCATACCTAGTGTACAAAACTTGGTGGTTGACTGGTTGTGCATTGTGGAAACTTAATTTTTAAAATCCAAAGGTATACAAAACTTGGTGGTTGACTGGTTGTGCATTGTGAAAAATTAGTTTTTAAAATCAAAAGGTATACCAAACAGGATGCAATATTTAAATATTGAACACATTGTTTCAACTATATTGAAGATGCATATAGCTACAAAATCATTCATATAACATCAATGACTAACTTAACAAAATGAAAAATAGTGAAACGGGTAATTTCGAAGTATGATTATCATGATATGTATAGGGTGTGCAGCACATATGTACGCATGATAACACTCTTGAATAGGCATTAATTAACAAAGTACTTTCGGTATAAAAATAATTTTCCAGAAGTTAAAGCTTCATATCATTTAAAAGGGTGAAAATAATTTTTAAGAGCACTCTAAGAAGCTAAAGATATTTTCTTTTCCAAAAGTTATATTTTTATTATTGTGCAAATAAATAAATACAGCACTTTTAACTGAGGAAAAAAAACACCCTAACATGCAATTAGAAGCATGTAATCATAAAATTATATTGTAGTTTGTATGAAGTGTAATGCTTGTGTACGCTCCCAAATTAAAAATATACCTGAAGCGCAAGCCCCCAATTATTAAGTGCCTGAAATAGATTCCATGAGAGTTAGTAAAAGGGGCTCAAAATGCAGAAGAGCACGCTTGTGAAGAAAATTAAAAGGTGCATAGGAATAGTGACAGAGTGAGTATCTGATAAAGCAAATATTTTCTAAGGAAACAAGAAAAAGCTGTTTCAAAATCACTTTCTGATTATTTAAGAAGATGCTAATCAAACTTTTAACAAGAGAGAAGTACCTGAGGACTGTTCCAGTTGAGTTGGACTGCTTTAACATAGTTACCTGTTGCCTGGGAAAGTTTTAGATTTTACAAAAATTAGAAGGTAGGATGTTAACTCTCTCTATCAACCATCGTCAAAAGAAACTGCTAAACAAGAAATTGAAAAGTTCTCCTATTCAAAACCAGTATGAATCCAATTATGTAACAAGCATCATGTAATAGGCATCAAGGAATTGGTATAAGAGCAGGAGCTTCCATAAATCATATCAATTTTCCAAGAGCCTGTGAATGAAATTGTGAAGCGGTGAAGCCATTTAATAGAAGGAATCATGTAATTTTCCTAACCTGTTTCCATAGCTCTTCAGCTTCCTTTGTTCGGCCTCGCATCTTCGCACGATCAGAGATTGCTATTGCCCAATTGTAGTAAGCCTAGACACAGTCAGACAGAGGATTAAAATTACAAGTTATTACACATTTTTACGTCTATGACTCTCCGCTTGTGAAAAGTAACTGATAAGCTAGCTAATAGCTGAAAAATTAGTTTATTAGTTTGAATTTGGTATAAGTAGTTGTTGAACTAACTAATAAATATAAAATAACATAAAGGGACATATAATTAAATTAATTTTATATTTACAAATTATTTATTATCTTAAAAAGTTTACATAACATTTTCATTTTATAAAAATTATTAAATGGAATGAGATAATATAAATTAAGTTACAAGTTTATATGTTTTAAAATGTATATTTTTTGTTTCATAAATTAAGATGTATTGCTTGTATCTTAAATACATAATGTATTTTGCATGATACTCAATTTCAATATTTAAATATATTAGAGCTGAAGCTCATTTAATAAATTACACTGAGTATGAAAATTTTACTACCTAGTCAGCTTGTCAATAGCTTGCATAACAAAAAAATACTAATGATATAGTACATTGATATTTATAAATCCTACGTGTGCCCGTTTAAGATTTTCTTGAGTTGTATTTTTTAATATTATTATTTATATACGGGCTTATTTAGGTTCAACTGCTCTTAGTTGTGCCTAGGTAGGCTATTGTTCTACTCATTTACAACTTTAAATTTATCAAAAACTTCATACATAATAATATCCTTACATACATCATGTAGAGTGGGACAAAGGCGAGTAGCCTCATCATATTTTTTGCAAGCTTCCTCAAGCAATGCATCTTTAGAAGGTGAAGTGGAATCTGGACTAACATTATCTGCACTTTCCTGCATGACAATAATAATTGAATGAACAGATTCAAAACTTGGACCAAGTATAGCTAGCATATTTATGATTCAAACGAGTAATATTTTGTATGTTTATAATGGATTATGAATATCCAATGATTTTTACTATGTACAAATTACAACAATACGAAGTTGCAATCTCATTTTATGAGAAAATAAAAAAATACAACGTTCATTCAAAAATTAATTAGGTGACAGAAGTGTATGGCCTACACTAACGCACAAATAGAATATCATCCTAGGAAAAGCTAAAATGGATAATAAGTTTGATGGTATTTTACTAGAAATTTTAAGGAAATTCTCCCTGAACTACAGCATTGCAAAACTTGAAAAATCAATTAACCTCCACATGCCCAGCAGCCTCAACTCTCTCAAAATGACAAGATACTTCTCCCTCTCAACAACAACCCTCTTCTTATTTATAAGTAACACCATAGGACCTTGGGGACCAATGCCATTGAGCCCAATAAGGATGAGGACTTAGAGAAGATCAGATGCTGGACACTGGCCCGCAGTCCAACACGTGGAAGGTTTATTCTAGAAGAAAGAGGGAATTTGGCTGTTAGTGACATTCTGACATGGCCTAGGAGGGTGGCACTTGTGGGGGATATTCTGTTAAGATTGAGTAAATAAATGACTGGCAGGATAGAGTACTGTACATTCTTTCATGTAATAGAATTTGAGCTGTACTCTAAGCTAGGCAAGGAGAATTATTCTCTTTGAAGGAGCTTTAGCTCTGGTAGTTTCTATTTCCTATAAGAGCTTTGCTCATTGCTATCAAACTATTACATTTTCCAGTGCTCAAACCCGGATTACTAACACAACATGCTTTTTTCCCCAATTATTCTATCCCCAACATAATAAATCTGACTCGGTCAGTAAAACACATATCGGCCCCCCTAATTCTCCAAGATTGTCCAAAATCTTCTTTTCTTCATTCTTGCTGAGCTCTGAACAGCATTTGAATCCTTCAATACGCATTACCCACAGACCCCAGAACTCCAATACCACTTCATAGAAAATTGTAATTTTATTAGAAATTTTAGGGAAAATTACTCTTGGATACAGTATGTGAAACTTAAAGGGTTAGTAAATTTCTCTATGCTCAAAGGACCCCCAACTCTCTCAAAATGACAATATATCTCTTCTTCTGAACCCTTCTTTCTATAGGTAACATGTCTTATTTCTCTAATGATTTCAGCTCCCAACTAGCTCTAACTCTCACAATTAACAAACCAATCAAAGTTGATATGAAGCCAAGTATTCTAACAAGAAAAAGAACCAAACAGCAAATAAAAATTAAAAATAATATAAAGATCCAGCTTCTCATACCTGAAGTACCAATGCCCAATTGTACAGCGCATCATAATCTTCAGGGTTCCTCTCAATAGAAGCAGCATACCTAGAATATCCAAGTAAGAAATTTATAAGTTTGTGATAGAGTAGTGTATTAGTTAGCAGTTTGTATTAGTGTATTGTAGTCTTTACTGAGCTTTATCTGTTGTGCTGAGCTTTAACAGTTAGTTACAGTACTCACTCTATATAAGTAGAGTCAATTGTATCTCTCTCATTCAAGGAAATACAATATGAAATTCCTAACAGAATTCCCAACAGATTTCTGATATTCTATCAGGTATCTAGAGCTTATTTTTCTTCTCTTTCGATCCAGTAGAACTCTTCCATGGCTTCTCCGTTTCACAGTGACGGAGTGTTTCCGTCTTTGTATGTTAAGCTTTCGTACCTCATATCGATTAAGCTTGATGACAAGAACTTCAAGCAGTGGAAGCAACAGATTGAAGGCGTCATTCGCGGTCACAAGCTTCAGCGGTTTGTCACCGTGCCGGCGATTCCTCAGCAGTTTCCGTCCAGTTCGGACTCTGTTCTCAACGGTGCTAATTCTGCGTATCTTGATTGGGAGCAACAAGATGCGCTCCTCTGTACTTGGCTCCTCTCAACAATTTCTGATTCTCTCCTTCCGAAACTCGTTGATTGCAGGCATTCATGGCAAGTCTGGACTGAAGTTCATCGTTACTTCACCACCTTACTAACCACCAAGGCACGACAACTCCGATCGGAATTGCGTCGCCTCACAAAAGGATCGCTTATGATTGCGGAATTTATGGTTCGTGTTCGCGAAATCAGTCATTCACTGATTTCGGTTGGAGATCCAGTTCCGCTTCGAAACCTAATCGAAATCGTGCTTGATGCGCTTCCTGAAGAGTATGATCCGATTGTGGCAGCTGTGTATAGTAAAGAGGATCTAGGTTCTCTTGATGAGCTTGACTCGAGTCTCCTCGCGCATGAATCACGACTTGAGAAGCATTGAAAGGCTGTTCTCACTGAGCCGGTGACGGTGAATTTGACGCAGGCTCCACCGGCATTATCGCCGGTCACATCTGAACAGTCCGCCACTGTGTGGAGCCATTTCCTCTTGGAACTAGTCATGTCACACTGTTCACGCTGAGAATCATGGTTATAACTCAAGAGGTGGTCGGTTTGGCCGTGGCGGTTTTGGCCGTGGAGGAGGTCGCTTTGGCAAAACTCGATGTCAGATCTGCAACAAATCTGGACACGATGCGTCCATATGTTATCACCGGTATTCAAATTCCGATGCTGCTTCATTCTCTCGTCAGAGAGCTTCCTCCAATCAGACTTGGACTTTGGTGTCACCATCTGTTTCGAGGAAACCTATTGGCTGTAGATGGGTTTTTCGGGTTAAGGAAAATCCTGATGGATCCATAAATAAGTATAAGGCCAGACTTATGGCCAAAGGATTTCATCAATAGGCCGGCAGTAACTTTACTGAAACGTTTTCTCCAGTTGTGAAGCCTGTCACAGTCCGAATTGTTTTAACTCTTGCAGTTACACACAGGTGGACACTTCAGCAAATTGATGTGAATAGTGTTTTCCTCAATGGTACTCTTGAGGAGGAGGTTTATATGTAGCAGCCTCCTGGGTTTGAGGCATCTGATAAGACACTTGTGTGTAAGTTAAACAAGGCTATCTATGGGCTTAAACAGGCACCCAGGGCCTGATTTGATAAACTTAAAAGTACTTCACTGCAGCATAAGTTTCAGGCCAGCAAATGTGATCCCAGTCTGTTTCTTCTTCACACTAGCAGCCTTCACATTATGGTCTAGGTCTACGTTGATGATATAATCATCACTGAAAATTCTGCACCATTCATTGCTTCATTGATCAAGAGTCTTAATGCTGCCTTCTCTCAAACAGCTGGGCAAGTTAGACTATTTTCTAGGCATCGAGGTCACTCACTTACCTAATGGTTCCGTGCTTCTCTCACAAACCAAATATGTAAGTGATTTGCTAGCAAGAGTCAATATGCTCAATGCCAATGGAATGCCTACCCCACTGGTTTCTAGCAGTAAACTCTCCAAAGTTGGGTCTGTTACTGTTTTTTATCCAACTCTGTTCATATCTGTTGTCGGTGCTCTGCAATATGCCACATTAACAAGGGCTGAAATCTCATTTTCTGTGAATAAGGTGTGTCAGTTTCTGTCAAATCCACTGGAGGATCATTGGAAGGCTGTCAAACGAACTTGAGGTATCTAAGTGGCACCCTTCACCATGGTCTTCTCATACAGCCTGCATCGGTTCAGCAACCTCTGTCTTTGCTTGGATTCTGTGATGCTGATTGGGCATCAGATCCTGATGACAGAAGGTCCACTTCAGGGGCTTGTGTGTTCCTTGGTCCTAATATTGTATCTTGGGGGTCCAAAAAGCAAAACTTGGTGGCCAGGTTGAGTGCAGGATAGAGTACAGAAGTATGGTCCAACTTGCTGCAGAGATACTTTGGATGCAGTCTCTTCTTAAAGAACTTCACTGCATGTTTCAAACTCCAAAAATCCTGTGTGACAACCTTAACACAGTCACACTTGCTCATAACCCTATTCTGCACAATAGGACTAAACATATGGAGTTGGATATCTTTTTTGCAAGAGAAAAGGTTCTTAACAAGAGTCCAGTTGTGGCTCATGTTCCTGCACAAGACCAGTGGGCAGATGCTTTAACTAAACCATCGTCTGCAGTGAAGTTTCTTCCTCTTCGTGACAAGCTCAGGGTGTTCAACAAACAAAGTTTGATTGGCACACCCTCCACTTCTAAGGGGGAATGATAGAGTAGTGTATTAGTTAGCAGTTTGTAGTAGTGTGTTGTAATCTCTACTGAGCTGTATTTGTTGTGCTAAGCTGTAATAGTTAGTTACAGTACTCATTCTATATAAGTAGAGTCAATTGTATCTCTCTCATTCGAGGAAATACAATATGAAATTCCTAACAGATTTCTGATATTCTATCAGTTTGAACATACATTCCCCCGTCCCTGAGAAGCACAAGAAAAACGGAAATCCCCGTCATGATAGGGTTCCTAGTATTTTCCAAAGATTACAAAACAGATTCTAGTGTGCAACAAATTTTTCAGTGTATATTCCTAGTTATAGATAGAAGTGATTGAAGTACCTCCTGGCAGCAAATGTAAGAATCCTCTGCCGGGAGCGACTTTCCTCGTCAACACCTACAACACTGTTTATCAAATCCATAGCAGCATTGTTCTGTTCTATATGCTGTTGCTGTTGACTATCTTGGCTGTTGAAATAGTACAATGTAAATATGCATAACACTCTCAAATTCAAATCCTTATTACTCCCATAATTTAATATCTATCTATATCTATATAAATGGTAAAATTAGAAAATTTCTAAATCTATATAACTGCAAAAAGTAGAGCAATTTCTCCGCGCATATTTTACAATGCACTCACTAACCGCAGTATCTACTCTCTACTAAATCGGAACATAAGAACATAATCAAAAGGTTCAGAGGTAAACCTGTAGGGAGAGCTAACGTCTTCTCTCTCCGGTTCAGAATCATTTTTCAATCCATGTAACAATTCTCTCATGGTAAACGTTCGGCTTCCTTCGTCTTTTTTCTTCAGCTGAGGCTGTGGTGAAGAAATGTTAGAAGCGTCATTGGAATGGATCGCGGTTTCCTTGAGATCTGCAACGGTAACTTCTGGATCGGGTTTTGATCCAGATTCTGGTTCCGATTGTGTTGGTGCTTGTGATTCTACTTGTTCTGCTGCCACTGGTTCCGGTTCGGTTTCCGGTTGAGTATTAGGTTCCTGTTTGGCTTCGGGTTCGGGTGCTGGTTGGAGTCCGTTCTGAGATTCAGGTTCCGGCGATGGCTGGAGTTGTTTATGAGATTCTGGGTCGGACATTTTGGAGGGTTAGGGTTTTAGAAGAAATGGAATGGAGAATTGAAGAGATGAGGAAGACGGAGTTTGATCGGATCAAAATCGATAACAGAGTAGATATGGGGAGGCAGAGCCAATGTGGAACGAAGAAGAAGAAAATGTAATGGAGGACTATATTTAATATTCTTTTTTTACTTTCATATTTGTTTTGTTAATAAAAAATATATAGAGGAAGCTAATCGAAAGGAAAGGAGAAAAAGGAGAAGTTTTTTAGGTTAATAATTTCATCAAACTTTCTACTCCATGAGTTAAAATGATTTGAAGAATAATAATTTTTAATTAGTTTTGATAATAATAAAGAAAATGAAAACTATGGTGTTGTTTGTAACATTTTGCATTTTATTAGAATTAAATGTATTTAAAATAACTATAAGGACGATTAAATTAAAAGGGAGTGTAAAAGGAAATAAGAAGTATCCTTAGGAACTAAGTTCAACTAACTAGATTATTTAAATATTTGAGATATTCTATAATAAACGAAGAATAATAGTATAAAATCATACATAATTTCTCTTTCTCATAAAATAATAATTATATTTTTTAATTTATATAAAATATCCAAAACTTTGTATAACTTGGGACGGAGAGAGTATTTCATACCGATATATATATATATATATATATATATATATATATATATATATATATATATATATATATATATATATATATATATATATATATATATATATATATATATATATATATATATATATATATATATATATATATATATATATATATATATATATATATATTTGAGAAATTGGATGATGCATTAATAGTATAAAAAAATTTATATTGTCAATCAATCACGATTATGAATCATGTCAAATTAGACCGTAATTTTTTAAAAATTTATATGACATGACAAAACGATATGTTCTTATTGAATGACAGTATAAAACTTTTTTATACTGTCAGTGCATCTCTTTTAACTTTTATATATATATATATATATATATATATATATATATATATATATATATATATATATATATATATATATATATATATATATATATATATATATATATATATATATATATATATATATATATATATATATATATGTGTGTGTGTGTGTGTGTGTGTGTTTTTTGGGCTGGGCATCTGGTTGACTCAACGTCGAGCACAACCCAATCCAGCCATGCGTCGAAGAAGGTCCATAATGATGGTTCAATTCCTTAGGGGCTAGTAGCATACATTTTCCCACATGCTCCTCACCTAATGACATGTCATCAACTTGGTCCGAACACCTTGTAGAACCAGTATGTCCTTCGTAATGGGCAAGTCCATCCACTATCCCACTATTCGGGGAATGCAAAGCAGTTGACCTAGGACGATGAGCACGAATTGTTCATCCCTACCTCCACGTAGGAATCCTGGCAGTCATCAGTTATGGGTCTGATCACTCAGCCCATAACGGAGAGCGTTGGCCCATCGCTGGAGGCTCTCTATAAATACCCTCATCTGTAGGAGGGTCAGGTATTTTGTTCTATTCTATTCTCTACTTTCTCTCGCTACCTTTTTACCCGACTGACTTAAGCATCGAAGTGTCTACAGATACACCCCTTCAACTTTTGTTGACCGTTGCTACTGCAGAAGTGTTATTGGTCACGTTCTGATCTACAAGTTATATATATATATATATATATATATATATGAGAATTTTAATTCTTGCGTTTAATTCTTACGTTCTTTTTAATTTTATCTTTATTTTTAATTTTAAAAATTGTTGCAAACATAGAAATGTAAAAAAAAAAAAAAAAAAGAATAGGGGTATATTTAGAATAGTGACATTAAATGTAACAATTGTATATGATTTTTGCTTATATTTAAGATTTTTTTTTTTTTGTTTATATTTGAGATCCGAAGAAATAAGATAGTTCCTTTATTTCAAGTATGAATTATTATAAAATAAAAATTAATTATTTAGTATTAACACTTATCGGTGATTATATTTTTAATAAACTAAAATTTTAGAAATCAAAGTACCACTTACTGATTAAGAGTTAAGAGTAAAGGCATTTTGTTCATTGTGCAAGACAATATGAAAAAATATGAGTGAAAAACAAATCAAATTTTTATTGTGTAGTATATAAGGTTATATGAAATGGAAAGTGGAATAGACGGTTTCATCATCAAGTTCAAAGCATTGCATGTTATTAGAGGAATGCCTCTTTTCTGAACCAATCTCTCGCTATCTCCTCCTCAAACTATTAAAGTTAAAGACTTAACTCAAGATATCCCCCTCTCACTCTCATCTCTCGTAATCAATTTTTAAAATAGAAATAGTCTTTTTCCTTAATATTAAATTACATTGCAAATTAAAAACTAAAATAATATTGAAAATATCATAATATAGATTTCAAATGATAAAGTAAAAAAGCATTGATGATATGATTGATATTTTAAATTATCAAAAGTCAAAACTAAATAATAAAGTATAAAATGATATAGATAGAACATATTTGAGGTAGGTACTAAGTGTTCGTATTACTTAATTCGTCTTTTTATCTTATAAACGAAAAAATCCAAACTTCAACCCTAATTTTGTCACTTTTTTCCGTCTAACACTTGATAATGTGTTTATTTATTTATCATTAATAGAGCATGAGTAAAGTCGTATACTCCAAGTCTAAAAAAATATTTATTTTAATTCATTTTGTATAGTTGATAGGTAGGTAAACCGAATAGCATCAATAAATTACATTACATAAATTATTAAACCACATTATGTGCTTAGCATAAGAGGAAAAATTAAGAAATAATTTCTCATATGATATTATCCTTGATATGATATTCACAAATGACCACAGGTACACTTAATAAAGCAAATTAACAGCCATAAAATATTTATGACCGCTATGCTACCGATTGATAAAAATTATTTAAATTATATATATATATATATATATATATATATATATATATATATATATATATATATATATATTATTGTGTATCTTATATTGTTATTATTGTTTTTATTTAGGGTGGTGATATATTAAACAAGTGAAATGTATTGTCAGGCCAATCCAACCATCTTAGAGGTATAAAGAAATGTTTAAAATGAGGCCTTCAAAATAAATAAATTAAATTAAATTTTATACTTAATCAGAGTTGGACCAAAAATCTAAAAGATACAAGGTCTCTTTTCTACAAACTCAACAATGAGATTTTATGTATAAAATACGTCATTTAAAATATTTATGACCAAATTAAAAAATTTTGAGGCCTTTTTTATAGCAAAATATTTTGAGGCCTAAAGCCTTTACGTGGGTCGCCTTCCTTTGGGCCGACCTTGTGTATTATTCTATTATTAATGATTGGTACGTGAACTGAGATTAATTAATGGGATAATCGGATTATATAACCATAAGATAAGGGTAAAGATCTCTCAACATGCTAACTACTTTTTATTAATAGTTGAGTTGAGTTATATTATTCAAAACATGTGAAAATAGAAGATATCAAAAGGATGAGTATAGTTGATCTCAGTGAATAATTCCATCTAAAGTCAACACATTGAATTTGATCTAAATGCAGAACACCACAAGAACACGATCAAATAGATAAATTACGTCATCAATTCACTAAAAACCAATTTTCCATACAACAGAATGTTGATCTCTTCATGAGAATGCATGTAACTCATTCGCTATTATTATATATTATTTTGTTAACTTTTATTTATTTTTTATGGATAAGATTATTTTTATTTATTTGTAACTGTACATCCCAAGAAATTTGGTGTAATTATGATATTATGACCTTTGATGTTCCTTGATGATTATGATGATGTTGAATATGAAAATGACGTTATTTTATATATTGAATTCCTATATTAATTATTATGAATCGTTTTACTCACCCTGCCTGTTTGAATGTTGCCTTCACGTGGGTAACATGCAGATGACCAGGTCTAGTCGTGGATGTCGTCGAAGATCTTTTTGGAGTTTTGAGTTGTTGGCCATTTTGGTTAACTCAGAGGGTCTTGCTCTGATAGTGTAACATCGGGTTGGGGGTCTTTGAGTTAAACCATATTTTATTTGATTTTTGTTATTTTGATTATGTTTCTGTACAAGGGAAACTTTGGATTATACCTTTTTGAGTTCCGCTGCCTTTTGAGCAATTTTTGATATCTTTTGGGAAAACCCGTTGTTTACGGAGCCTTGACCTATATTTGATTTATTGGGAAATGTACGCCCTTTGAGGTGATTTTTATTGAGTTTAATATTTTACTCTGATAAATGTGAATATTTTGCCATTTAATTTGTGGGGTAGAAAAGGGTGTTACATTAGTGGTATCAGAGTAGGTTGGTTCGTCCAGCCAAGTTTTTTTTATGTTGTTAATCCTCGTCAGTCAATAGTGTGAGAACACTATTGGATGAGTTGTTTTCTTCTAACCCTGTTGGTGGTTGCAGATGGCTGGAAGACATGATCGTGCTATTGCTGATGTGCTGGAATCACTTACCCAAGTGATGGCCCATAATGGTGGACCTCCAAATGAGTTTCATGCTTTGGGAAAGTTCCAGAGGAATAATCCGCCGACTTTTGTGGGCACTCATGATCCTGATGATGCGTAGAAGTGGATGAAAGTGATTGAGAAGATTTTCCGAGTTATGGCGTGCACTGATGCTCAACAGGTGCAGTTTGGTACGCATATGCTAGCAGAAGAAGCTGAGGACTGGTGGGATAACACTCGTCAGAGATTGGGAGGTGTTGGCATTGCAATAACGTGGACTGTTTTTAAGGAAGAATTTTTGAGGAAGTATTTTCCTGAAGATGTTCGGGGCAAGAAAGAGGTGGAATTCCTTGAGCTGAAACAAGGGAATATGACTGTGGCTGAGTATGCGACAAAGTTTGAGTCTTTAGTAAAGTTTTGTTCGTATTACAATCGTGTTGACGCAGAGATGTTGAAGTGTCTCAAGTTTGAGAATGGGTTGAGACCAGAGATT